TCAGCAGCAGGTGTGGTGATGGCTGACTAAAGTGCAGGTGGGGACCAGAAGGGATGCTGGGAAGCAGACAGGTTACAGAGTTGGTGACTCATTTATAAAACTGTGCGTAGGATCCTTACTAAAAGTGTATCTGCGCCCAAAAGCCAAAAATGTCATACGCAACAAAAAAAAAAATCCAGACTTATAAAACCGTGCGTACGCCAGAACCTGCACAGAATTCACTTTATAACTACCAGTCAGCGGAAGATTGTGCTCACATGCGTCTCCTCCCCAAAATAACCATATATGGAGCCGACAACGCCTAGTTTTACTGTGCATATCCTCATCTGCATATAATTTGCATATGATTATTCATCCACGTGATAACATGTTTAACGGTACTAGACATTAGGAAAATATAAAATACGGATGTGCCGTCATTTGATTACATTAATAAAAATAATCTAGAAGCCTATCCTTGCCTTGTTTTTTGAATAAATAAATCAAATAGTGTAAAATACATTTCAGAGAAAGTTTTTCTCAATCTTTTCCACTGGCCAAATAGTATTTTTAATTGATTTGTATTTTTAATAGAAACAGATAGACCTTGTTGTGCATTATTTGCACAAAACCATTTTCTCTGACAATCTGCTATTATCATGATAAGCAATTATCTATGTAAAAACAACTCATCAGTAATGATTTCATGTAGTTTAAGTGTTGAACACCATTAATGAGAATGGCATATTTAATCTAAATGTTTATATCAGAAGTAAAACATAGTTTAAATCATTCTTTTATTTTTTAAAACTTTTATTGTGAACATGCACTGTATTTATGATGGACTCATAATGAAGATTTACGGTTTTACTTCATCTGCCGTTAGATAGGCTGTATGCGTCAGTTTCACTAAACGGCCTAATACTCTCACTGGCGAGGACATTAAGGAAGGGATGGATATTTGCTTCAAGTGATAGGCTTGGTGAGTGAAATTATATTTGTATTATCTTTCTAATTTTCTTTAGATTTTCTGTCTAAAAGTGACCAAAAAGACATTTAACTCCAACTTACCATCGGTGTCGCAAAACTGCTCCATCTCCAAAACGTTCGTACGCATGGGTCAGAGTTTGCGTGCAGGTGCGCGAATTTTCCCGTCAAGTTTGTTTTTATAAATCACAACTTATGCGTCGGAAGTGGCGTACGCCTCTTTCAGGGCCTGTTTTGTGTGTATGCAACGGTTATAAATGAGGCCCCTGGTGACTGTGACAATAACTTTGTATTAAAAGTGTTTAAAAAAGTTGTTTTCACAAAATTACTGTGAAATATATGAATCACTTTAGGTGTATTAGTAGAGGGAAAAGGTCACAGCAATGTGCACAAACTGTAAATTAAAAAATATTTTGGAAAAGCTTGTAGTCTACTGCTGTTTTTGGCTTGTACTATATTTAAAACAATGTAGCTTTTCCTGTCCAGGAAAGAACCTAAGAAGTCAAAGTGCAATGAAAGGCTTAGATGTGAAACAGAGAGTAACATGACTTTGTGTGTGACCTCTCTATTCCATTGTGGAGGAAGTTCCAGAAATCTCCTTGGTGATACAAAAACATTCAAACAAAATATATTTTTGTGGTTTCTTCTGTCAAAAGCAGTTGAAGCTACAACTGATTCTTTTGGCAGGACCCTCAGAATCATTGGTCCTGGTGGGCAAATGGGTCTTGATTCTCCTGGCTTGCATTACGAATTAGAATGCAGGCTCACTCAGTGGCGACAGCATGAATGGGCCATAACAATATTTCAGACCTGATTTTGTAATAGAATATGATCCGTTTGCTCACCCACCTCTCAGACTTAAGGCAGAAGTCCTGACCCTGCCTGGAGGAAAAACTGAATTTAGCATATTCCCCTGCCCCTTCCTCAATAACTTATTCATGTAGGCTCCTCGCTCAGCCTTATAGAATATTCGCTTCATAATCATGGTGATGAGTCGCAGACCCTCACTGGATGGATTTCTATAGGAATATTCAGCTTAAGGCATTTGAAGTGGCTGAGGTTTAGAAAATGTACTTGACAAATTAGACTCGCAGCTGAACACACAACAATGGTTGTGTATCAGAGCATATTCTCCAGTCCAACTGCATGCAATTAAGGCCCTAGAATTTCAGCTTCTGTAAGGAGGTCCCTATGGCTCAGTAAAGTGACCCAAGTCATGCAAATAATTCAAACTACAACAAATCTTTCATTATTACTCACTACTAGTGGCAGTAGATGTCGTCACATTAAATTAAGATAATCATGTAAAGGCGAGGTATAGGTGATTTGTTCCAGAAGCATTTTTTGTTATGCTGGTTGAAAGTCTCTTCACATCCTAAAAGCAATCACTAAGTTAAGTGCTCTAAATGTAATTATTCTTATATATGTCGTCTGTGGAAGGCGTAGGACCATAAAATGTTCGTCCAATCATTGAATTCGGTCTGAATGCAATGGTACGATGTTCTAAATGCCTGTCAACATATGTGTTTTCTTACCTCCACGCACCTGCTCACGCAGACATCACACATCATCAGCGCGTTTCATGCTATGAGTTAGCCAGACGTCAGTCAATGAGCACCCAGCAGCCGCCTTTTACAGTTCCTCCTGAACCAAAACAACGAGCTTATGCTGCATTCACACCATAACTACCTTAATCTGGAAGAGATACCCGTGACTTTATACTCGGAGCGGTTCGTGACTCGAATTTATGTGTTTCAATGGCAAAACCATCAACATTGGAATGAATATGCAGCAGTCAGGTGGTACAGGTCAGTGCTCTTTAAGTTTTTTATGTTCATTATTATTGTAATGTTATGTGTTATGTGCTTTCATGAGTCACGAGGTAGTTTAACGCCATCTCTCGTGATGCTTTGTAGACTCTGCTGGGTGCTGGATGATTTCAATAATAAGATACAAGCAGTGAAATCAATGGATGTAATATTAACTACTTGCTCAGTTGGGCCAGTAGTTAATATTTCTACACTTTCAAAAAATTGTAATTATTAATTTTAATTTACATTGAGCTTCTAATTGTAAATGTAATTTTTACATTATTTAGGAACACTTTGTAGCTAGCCTAACTTTTTTGTTCAAAATTAACAAAATTGAAATAAGTCAATAGATCATTAATCCCTCTTCCAAAACGTGCTTTTGTCTTACCCTGATTGGTAAGCCTGTTATAATTTTTTTTATTTTAGAAGAAAAAAAATGCGTATTTGCGTCACTCGCCCGTGCATGTCTCGTCATATCGAAACAAATAGAGAAAAGATTATCTGCTACTTTGAGGCTTGGGAGTGGGTTAGTTGTTATGTAATTAAAAAAAAAAACACTGAACAGAGGAGTCTTCTGGCAAAAGGAGAACGCGACAGCTCGTAAATCCTAAAACAAAATCAACGGCTTGGCTTTTCGGAGATGGCGAGAACTGAGGGGTTTGAAATGTTGTAAAATCGATGCGGAGATGGCGTTTTTATGACTCGACGGGTCGACTCGATAAGGTATTTTATTAAACAGGTAAATTGGCACATGTTGTTTATTGTAAAGCATTATCTATTGTTAATGGTCATTTCATTATGGTTGTTGTAGCGCTGTGCTGGAATTTATTTTCAAGGAAGTACCGTTTCTATTAATGGGTAGATCTGCTGTAAGGTCTTCAGCTAGTCAGCTTGACATCCTTTCCATGTCAAGCCTAGTAATGTGTGTTTTATGAGTTGGACCACAGTCACGTAGAGACAAACTGAAACCATTGTTCCTACGCAAAATTAATGCTTGTTTGTTTTTTAACCGCTAGAGGGCCAGTGTACCTTTCATTTTTTTACGTATAAAAATATATATTTTTTAATATTATAATTTGCAAAGAAATGTTTTGCTTAGGCATTATAGTCAATATAATCATACAGGAAACTCCAGGACAAAAATAAATTCACAAACACATTTGCTAGAAAATGATGGCATACAGTAGGTTACATGGCAAAAATGACATTATTTTCAAGCCGTTCTTACTGATACTACTATCACAAAAATTTTAAATAGTATTTCACAAGCAAAAAGTTTGAAAGACATAAACATGCATGCATACATTAAAAAAAGTAGGGTATAGCAGAGGCCCAATAGGGTGGCAGTTCCGTCAACTGGCCCGTAACACTCACATATTGAGCCCTGGCAGTCAGTTCTGTAATCAAAAGCCAGTTTTCTCAAATTATCCAAGCACTGTTTTTTATTAGCTAACCTCCAAAAAAGATGCATTCATGATAAGAAAATCATACCAAGCAACATAGGAAAAGTTTATTGTTGAAGCATTGTCTGCACATGATACAGCTGTCAGATTTTTGGAAGATAGGAATATTTACATGACATAATATTATCTGAAATGTTTTTGACTCTCCTGCACACTTGATTGAATATCATTTCGATCACATTGAAATTGTACAAAAACATACAGTAGAAATCAATTAAGGCACAGAAATTGACAGTGCAAACTTAAACATGCACCTTTTCAATGCAAGATCAGAATGGAATGTTGTTGGGCCAGATCCGACCAGACAGTTTAAAACACTGCTATTCTATCTTTCATGTAAAACAGCAGTAGAAGGGTACTTTAAAGGTGCTGTAACTAAGTGATTATTTTATGGAATAGCATGCAGGACATATCAATACCCTAAGCTCTGTAAAACACTTTGGCTTTGCTGACAGGGAGGATTTTGAAATGGCTTACAGCACCTTTAATGCATTTAACGGCATTTTCAAATGTGAAAACATTTCCGTCAAACTAGCAAGGCACATTTTCTTTGTGAATATTGATGCCAAAGTATCACAAATATTCTGTATCATCCAAATGCAGAACAATATATCAGTCCTGTGTACATTTTTACATATTGAGCAAGCACTGTCACTACTTTGAGGCGTCACAGGAACTGTCCTGGGAGGCGTCGTGGCGCGGTTGCTCCTCATTGGCACGTTTCATCTGCTGTGCAGTCTTTGTGTACTTTCAGTCCGTACTGAACATGACCCCGGATAAGCTTCATAAGTGAGTGTGCTCAGAGCTCTGGTCGCTGTCGTGGCTGTCCTCATTGTTGATAAGTGAGTCCGGTGTATGTTGGAGTCCAGGAATTCCCGAAAACTCAGATGGAAGTAATGTTCCCTTTTTGACATTCACAAGCTCTTTTTCTCTCGCTACCGCCCCCTGTTGGCCTCCTTTAACTCGCTTCCACTTCATCCGTCTGTTCTGAAACCACACTTTTACCTAGTGGGAAAGAAAGACACATGAGTTATCGGATCCTACACTCTTAGGCTACATCTACATTAAGCCCATTATATTTAGATCGTTTCAAAACGCTCTTCAACCATATTAGCGTTTTCAAGCTTTTCCAAAAGTTTCTCGTCCACACTAAAGCTATGAAAAATGCTTAAATCATCTTACTGTGCATGCGTAAAATGTAATAAAAGCTCACTGAGATGATACAGAGAGAGCAGACATAATAAAGTTCTCACACTTCTTCTGGCACAATAATTTTATTAGCTAAATATCCATGAAGAACCTTTAACATCCAAGGAACCTTTCCATTGCACAAAAGGATATTTATAGTGGAAATCTTTATTGTTTAGATTATTAAAAAGTCTTTCACACTACGAAAAAATTGGTTATTTTAAAAAGTGTTCCATGTAAGGTTCCTTGCATGAGGAACCCAAAATGGCTCTTTAATGGCATCGCTGAGAAAACAACAACAACAACAACAAAATAGTTAGAACCTTTATTTTTAAGAGTGTAATTTGTCTTCAGCAAATTAGTCTGTATGTTCACCCCGATGGTGCAGATGATCAGTTTACTGTGGTTGTTGGCGGAGCGATTGGAGAGGTAGATCAGGCCATGACTCACCAAACTCCAGTAAGCTAATATCCCTCGATCGGGTACAAGTGTGCCATGTGATCAGATGACTGCCTTGCTATTCTAATGCATGATCCACAAAGTTTGGAATTATGTTTTTCTGAAGACGCTTGAAAAATACCATGGCTTTCAATCCACATATTTGGCAGGTATTTTCAGCCCATCTAATCTGGGGCATCAGACATTTTTGTCTTTTCCTTGCGAGTTAATTCAGAGACAGTATTTACGTTTCCCAGAATGATGATTTAGCTGTTTCTTAAAGGGTCACTGCAGTGCAAGTAAGGCTTGCTGGGGGACCGGGCCACCTTATGCTAAAATGTATTTCTGGAGTAGGTATGATGTTAGATAGTCACATGGAATAGACCAGAATTCTTCCTTCACAATCAGACTTGACGCATACCTGGCCAAATGGTGTAATTTGAAGTATTTTTTCCCCAAATGGCTATCAAACTTGATTAAGTTCAAAGGCGCATTTTACTTTCAAATTAATTTTACGCTCAACACAATAATTCCTTCAGCTTACGTTTCAAGCATCCGCAAGGAATAGTCTTTGGATTTTAAGGTCTGCTAGAACACCATTAAATTGGCCACCCACGTTCATTACTGTCAGCACTGTAAGACTGCCATCCTAAAATATATCTGCAACGTTTGCAATTCTTCTCTCAGCCTGAAAATGTCCCAGTAAGTTCACTGGTCACTGGTTAGTGCATGTCATTAGACAATTCTATCATTTCCTAAAAATACCAGCACTTGCATGGCAGCATTGAAATAAATTTAAAGTTGAAGACTGTATCTGTGTAAATGAAATCAGGGCCTCTTTGCAGTGGCAAGACACCCATATGGTTATCAATGCAAGAAAGGAAAAAACAGACATATTGGCAAAAGCCAATAAGAATTCACTATGTGGATGACATAGTCTTTTTAAAAAAAAAAGTAAATGGGAATTTTCACTATTTTTTTATTTCTCAAAAAATTATAAAGTTAAAAAAAGTTTGTATGTTAAGCAGTTTAGACTAAATTAACTGGAGGAGTTTAATTCTAAAGAGAGACCAATACATTGCTGTCTTGCAGGTGCTGTAATCAACTTAATTACAGATAGTCGTTTTAATTAGCCTGTGCAATATCATTATGATTAGTAACCATTTTACGTGTGCCCCAGTCATAGTCCTTCTCCTGCCACGAACATCCAGATCTCCAGCAGGTTCACACAGGGATCACATTGCAGGAGGCGGATTTGCTTACTTGTCGTGTGGCAAGGTTTTTAATTCTAAGCCTTGGGAATGTATCCCCGGAGAATGTAGCATAATTTAAGGCCACAGATGTCACTTCCTTGTAGGATCCATGGCAAACTGCAAAATCTTATGAAACCAAAAGGTCTAGAAACATTCGTAATCTAAAATACTGCGATGTACTGGACATATTATAATTTAAAGCACTTGCATGGCTCATTGAGCAGTTAAAAATGTTATGAATGGTGTTTTGAATTAGGCCAGAATGACCTGCCAATGATGTCATTTCAAAAACAGCAAGCATTATGTCATCTCTTTGTGTCTGTAGGAGTCAATAAACTTCAATAGTTTAATAAGATTACATAGTTGTTTGGTTAAAACATCAAATAGTTACAACAACCAATATATCTTTGGCTCCAAATAAAGCGTCATGTGCTATTTATTTCACATATGGCTGTAGGAAGCGCCTTCCCACGCAGAGACCAATTTGTAAGACGGAGAAGCAAGGCGGAAGTGCCTTAGCGGACAGAACTTCCTTTGCCTCTCCCGTTACTTGACTAAAGCCAAAAAGAAAGCTTGCAGAAACATCTGGAATACAATAGTCCCACTCCATGGCTGGATAGAAAAGCACTGAACCCAGAAAAAAAATAAAACGACAGTAGCTTCTGACAGAATGATTGATGAACAGGGACCAGGTCGCACTCGGTCATCTCACCTGCCTTTCCGTGAGATCCAGGTTTACGGCGATTTCGTACCGCCTCAGTCTGGTCAAATAGTTGTGATGGGCGAATTCTGCCTCCAGTTCTCGAATTTGCTCTTTGGTGAACGCTGTCCGCTCCTTCCTTGGCTTGCTGCTCACATCCGATTTGTAATTCCCATCTTGGGACTCTTAAAAGAAAAAACAAGAAATGGTCACAAACTTTTTGAAAAGCAGTATCAACTGTTCCACAACAAAATGGGCTTTGAAACACATTCAGTTCATTTCAATGCAATCGTTCCAATTAAATACAATCACTGCGGGGTTGAAATCCCAGAAATGCCATAAAGAAAAGCAGAGGAGAATAAGGAATACTGCCGGTCATATTTTACGATGCTGCAATTGTGCATGCCAGCTGTTTGTAAAAGTCAGCTCCAGCCGTGAGTTTTCATAAACCGCTATATAGATCCTCACAATGAGTTAGCGCTCACCAGAACACTTTCCAAAGACTTCATTTGACTTACTGTTAATGGAATCTGCTATCCTTGTAGTTTTAATATGGAACAAAACAGTACTGGAGGATGTGTAAAAATATATTTCCTTAGTTTATTTACCTCAAAATTTTACGAGCGTCTTCCACTCTGCCAGCTCACAACAATTTTCAGTGGAGTGTTTCTTGTTCCCTCTCTCGCTCTTGCGCTGTCAATTACGGCGAATTGCTTTCCCTAGTTTCAGATGTTTTTTGGAGTGACAGAACATGAACGCATAAAAGCTCATATATATACAATTACATGTGGTTATTGCCAGTGCTCAATTACGTCTAGTCTATTCTTGAATGGGAAACGCAAAAGGTCATTGAGGAAATGTCAGATTAGCCTAGCTATCCATCCTACCGAAGACACATGCGCTTCTGTTGTTTTGATACATGAGGAAGGACATTTTATGCTTCTTTTTTCACAAGACGTGCGCCTTTATCATGACTTCATGTTGCTGTGACTCACTTGCAAAGCCTTGGTTCATTTATCTGTGGGTGTGGAGTGAGTGCTAATCCAACTAGCAATCCAAAACCCAGCTGTAAATAGAGCCTAATTTAATGAGACCCCATCCGCAAGTGCTCTGCCATTTCAGCACAAGTCAGCATGATATTTCAAATACATAATTGTTCATGTTTTTTCAATGATAAAATACTGTGTACTATCCCATCTTAAGGGAAAGTTCACCCATGAAATTTTACTCACTCTCATACTGTTGACCAACATTTAAGGTCCGTTCACACCCAGAACGATAACTATAAAGATAACTATATTAGCGTCCACACCAGCGGATTATATCATTCTGTTATATATTTAGTATTTATAATATATTGTGTTTTTTATTAATTTTGTGCTATTATGCGCAGCTGAGTGAACAACACAGGTTTACTGTGTGTGTGTGTGTGTGTGTGTGTGTGTGTGTGTGTGTGTGTGTGTGTGTGTGTGTGTGTGTGTGTGTGTGTGTGTGTGTGTGTGTGTGTGTGTGTCGCATAAGGTGGCTTTCTGCTGCTTGCAAACTGACTCTTTTGAGGAGACTGTGGATTTCCATTAATTTGTTGCCCTGATTCAACGTGATATGCGCGAATACACTTCAGACTCACTCTCGCTCGTATCCAAGGTAAATCATCAACACTATCATCCCTTACATGTGTTTTATTGGACTAAATACGTCATAGTCAGCTAAACGCATGCGCAGGTTACTTTACTTCCTGAATAAGTGCGCACCCGAGTCCGTGTTGCTTTCACATCACACCAACCACGGCACGGTTCGAGTGCAACTGAACTCAGAGCGCCTCCTCCAGGTAGTCTCGGGTTCGGTAACGTTACCGCAGTGCGAACCCGGGTTCACATTAGCGATTTTTCATGCGAACCGTACCCCGTTCCGAACTAGTGTGTCAGTGTGTGCTGGTCTGTCACTTTAAATGCTCGTGCTCTTCAGTGTTACATAGAAGAAAGTAAATGATCAGATTTGTAATTTTTAACTGTTTTCAAGCATATTTTCCCTCAACTGCCATTAGTCAGATTGTCCCCGCCCCCAAACTCATGCTATTGGTCGAGCCACTGTTGCTGTGTCAGGCTGGTCGGATTCTCAAACAAACAGTGTTTTTAAAACACTTCAAGCGTATCTTAGATGCACTGAGATATATGGCAAAGTATTGTTTTAGTTTGCCTTGAAGGTCTCACTGTAGGTGGATGTTCAGATGAAGTGTGAAAACGCCGCTGTCAGCTACATCATGATGGCTATAAACACATGCCAAACGTGTTATTTAACAGTATAATTTGCAGGTTGAGATTTGCAGAAGCTGACAAGGACAGAGACTCAGGATTGTTCGTGTAATGATGATATTGTAGTTTAGCATAGAAGTTGCAGGCTATGGTGTATCATGCATGCTAATGAAGAGACTTTGAATAAATAATCATCAGGTGATTTCTAAAGACAGTGCATCAAAATGCAACTGATTACACCCAGTTTCAGCTCAAATTTCACCAGATGTATTTTAAAGAGTCGGCTGAATGTGGGTCTGATTAAAACAAGAGCAAAAAGGCACATTTATTGCGGGCCAAAAGCAGCCATTGTGGAGTGAGAAACAGCAACACGAGCAGCGTTTTGTGAACAGAGCTGGTCCAAGTTAAGGCAACTTTTCCCGGCTTCGCAACACGGCGGTTACACCACAGCAATTAGGCCTGCGCTTTAACTTTTATCTCTTCTTTAAAAAAAGAAAAGTCCTGGGGGGGAAAAGCAGGACAGCCCAAGCTTTCAAAGATGATTTAAAAAAATACAGCTACAATGAAAATTTAGACATCTACTTTAATATTTTATACTGAGCTTTATTGGTGAAAAAAACAAGAAACCAAAAGGAATATCATGAAAACCCACATGACAAAATACACGGCGGCTGTCTCCTATCCAAACCAGACATGTGCTGTTTTATTAGAACATCCACACATGCTTTGAATAAATCAAACAACCTATCTTAAAATAAATTGAAAAATATGTTGACATTTTGACTGTTAAATCAGCCCTTGTTGCATTGATTGATCCTCATTATAAAAGCATTCTATAATTTAATTTTTGTGTTATGCCACAGTTGCTCTGAAAATGAATAAAGTATATTAAAACATTTTAATAATTTAAATACCTTTTAAAATCGATAATGCTTAAAATAGATCAACACTGTTCAACTGCCCCAAACACATCCGTGAGAATTACATTTTCTATAATTCAATAAATTTTACAATATTACACACCACAACATGTTAATCATTTTGTTTATTGTAAATCCCACTTGCTACGGGAGTAGAATAATATCCAGAATTATTCAAATAATATTCAAAATTAATTAATATTAATACAAATAATAATATAATAGTAAATACATAATGATTATATTTAGCAGCGCAAAAAACTTCTAATCACGTCTGCCTGTTTTTAAAAATATTTTATATGAATTGCAACAAAGAGTTGTAAGATATCTGTTAAAAGATTCAAAATAAAAAAGATTCAAAATAAATTGGGTTACACTTTATTTTAAGGTTTCCTTGTTACAGTGTAATTCTACATTTAAGTGAGTAATAATAATTAACTGCGTGTACTTACTATAGGGTTAGGTTCAGGGTTAGTTGCATGTAATTATGCAAAATGTTATGATATTACAGAGTACATACAACATATGCAACAAGAACACTGTAAAATGAAGTGCTACCATAAATTGTTAAAGAACTAGTGCGGAGTCCTCCAATTCTGTTAAGACCTTTTCAGCAGTGGAACAAGTGTATTGATGTTATGTTAATTTCGGGTTGGCACAAATGAGAATAAATCCACATCTGCAGGGCTGCACCTCTTGTGTGGACCTGAACTTTGTTTTAAAGGGCAGAAAGTAGTTAAAATTCCCTTTGAAGTAACAAGATCGTAAAAGTACATTTTATGATCCATTTTATGCAGTGTTAAATTGATTTTTTTAACACGAGTGGCAACTATTCCCGACAAAACAAACTGGAGATGCCCATCAGATTAAACAACAACTTTTGCAGTGAACCGAAAACCCTTCAGTTTACTTCATATCTCCCTGCCCGTTTTACCCATCGGCAAAACCAAAAATAAAGTAACAGTATATTCCCGTTCTGATTCCAATGTACAAACAAATTATCTTCAAAGAGAAAGCACTCCTGTCATCTAACGTTTGGCTTTTCGTGTTGAATGCCAACACAGGCGTCCCTGTTCTCCTTCTCAGACCATGGCATTAGTTACTTTACCACATGCCTTATTTGTGCTTGCCAAAAAAGTGAGGAGATGAAACAGATGAGACTAAACGTGAATCATGCGTGCAGTTAAATGCCCACACATGAGTTACAATCTGCCCTCTGCTAGCCAAAATAATTGCTTCTGTGCGTGTAAGCCAACACCTACAGTACAAAACTCTCACAGGCAAACACACGGCTCCACGTTTCCAAAAACACTAGCACTGCACTCAGTCTGATTGTGAAGGCTGTTAAAATGCACCATAACTTGGACAAAAAACATTTTCAGTTACAATAAAACAAACTTAGATGTTTTAACAGTGTTTAATGGGGAATAAAATGACAAAAGTATAATTGATAAGAGAAATGTTTTTCTGGAAAACGTTACAAAGAATTTATTTACACGATATAATATGCTCTTGTAATATGCATAGGAGAAAATTACAGTTTTTCAATCATATACGTATATACTGTATATATATATATATATTAGGGCTGTCAAATGATTAATCACGATTAATCATCCAAAATAAAAGTTTTTTTTACATAATATATGTGGGTGCACTGTGTATAATTATTTTGTATATATATAAATACACACACATGCATGTATATTTAAGAAAAAAATATTATTTATATATAAAATATTTATATTTATATATAATATAAATTAAATATAAATCTATATACAGTATATACATGAAAATATTTCTTAAATATATACAAGCATGTGTGTGTATTTATATATATAAAATAATTATACACAGTGCACCCACATATATTATGTAAAAAAAAACTTTTATTTTGGATGTGATTAATCACGATTAATCATTTGACAGCCCTAATATATATATATATATATATATATATATATATATATATATATATATATATATATATATATATATATATACATACATACCGGTACATGCATGCATACATACACACACAGATATATATATATATATATATATATATATATATATATATATATATATAAATAATTTAAATAATTCATAGATATTATATATAAATATACAGAATATATTTAAAAATATTTCAAACAATTTATATATAATATTTGTAAAATAAGAAATATATATAATTTAGTATTTAACAAATATTAATATTATTTACAGATAGCAAATAAATCCTAAATTTGTATATATTATTTATATATATGATTTATAAAATTTAAAATATATATATAAAAATATTTTGCAAAGAATATTAAATACTGAAATCAAATAAATAATTATACTGTGTATATATACACATTTGTTATATATATGATTTCTGCAGAATCATGTGACACTGAACACTAAAGTAACAGCTGATGATTATTCAGCTTTGCATCGCAGAAATAAATTATATTTTAAAGTAAACTAAAATAGAAAACCATTATCAATAATATTTCACAATAGTAGCTACTGTATTTTTGATCAAATAAATGAAGGCTATATATAAAACAAAAAATGACTTTATCAGATCGGACCTTTTAGCTTTTTACTTAAGTTTAGATTGGTTTAAAATAAACATGAGCCTTTTTCTTACCAGAGCTGTCACTTCTTCGTTTGCTATTCCTTTTCTCTGCCTCGGCTGGCGACATCGTGTGACGTCCGAAATCCCCTCCGGGAACACAAGAGGCCCCCGAGGGCACCCCTCCGCCGAGGCTCGGGGTGCTTGCGCAGAGGCTGGGGCCCCCGGGACCCATGTCTGAAGAGCCTGAATCAGGGGCCGAGATGCCCAGCCCCAGACGGCCGCTGGCTGGCGAGGCGCTGGCCGTCTGCGGTATGTGCCATCCGGTCTGCTGCGGTTGGGGTAGATGATGATGATGATGATGATGATGATGCTGCTGCTGCTGGGACATGGGTGGCCCTCGCTGGTGCCCGTGCTCCCCAAACAGTCCCCCATCCTCACCTGGGTAACCGCTCACGATGCAGGTAGAAGGAGAGGAGGTGGAGAGGTCAGGGTACGTGGAGAGGTGCTCGGAGCGCCCGTGAAGGGCGAAGGCGGGGTGCAGGGCCTGTGGAGGTGCGTGAGGGCTGCGCAAACAGCCGAACAGCGTGTGATCCATCGCATGCACCAAACCGGTCGCTCACGAAAACAGAAGCCACAACAGCAAAACTTCCAAGAGATGAAAAGATTAATTAAAAGCAGCAGAAACCCAAAACGCTCCTTTGCTTCTCACTTTAAGCAATCTCTCCCTGGAAAAAAAAGTGGAAAAGGAAAAAAGTGCGTCAGTACACATGAGTGTGTGTGTGTGTGATAATCCCATGCACGTCGCGAGCGAGAGTTGCCAGGCAGCAGCAGCTGACGATTATGATGATGAGAGATGAATCTCAGTTGACAGTCTAGCGCAGACTGCGGCCCAGCTGAGAGGGAAAGGTGCTTCCTAACAGTGGCCGGGATTTTGGGCAATGGGCTGGGACTGAAGGAGGGGTGGGAGATGTTATAAATAGGGACATGTAACATGAGAGGGAGGCTGGGTCACAGAACCCCGCCACAACTGTCCACTGAATCGAGCCAGGCCAAGCCTTACAGCTCGATACTTCTAAAACATGTCAGAAATAGATGTTCATTTCGGCCCTTTTAAATCTTTTTCATGATTTGCTTTTTCTTCGGTCCCACAAGGCAGATTTGTTGAGAGGGTCGGAGCAGCTGAGAGGGGTTAAACGTGTTAATGGGTTGTTGATCTTCTGCACGTTCTCCTGTGTTGTGAGGATGATTTAGGACAGGGGCTCAGTGCTAGAAGCCCCTGAGCTGTAGATCTTCTTCTATTGGTGGGATGACTGCACAAACTATTGAGTCTTTTCTTTTTGAGTAGTCTATCGACAAACCACCTACAACATAAATAACGCTTGATCAAAAATACAGTAACAATAATAGTGTAAAATATTATTACAATTGAAAATTTCCATTTTTAATATATTCTAAAATGTAATTTATTCCTGTGATGGTAAAGCTGTATTTTCAGCATCATTACTCCAGTCTCCAGTGTCACATGATCCTTCAGAAATCACTCTAATATGATGATTTAGAGCTCAAGAAACATATTATTATCAATGTTGAAAACAGTTGTGCTGCTTCATATATTTGTGGAAACCATGTTACATTTAATTTATAAAACCATGTTACATTTAATTTATAAATGTCTTATTATCAGTAAAATGCGCACTTTTTTTGAAGTTAAATAAAAAGTATTAATATCTCTTTTTTTAAAGTAGTGTGTATAAATATATATATAAATCTGTTGTAACAATATACAATATACACACAAAAAAAATCTTTTTTTGAAAGAAATTAATACTTTTATTCAGCAAGGATGTGTTAACTTGCTAACAGTAAAGTGATAGTAAAGATTTATATTGTTAGAAAACAGTTATATTTTGAATAAATGCTGTTCTTTTTAACTTTTTATCATCAATGTATCCTGAAAAGAGAATTACAGGTTCCAACTGTTTCCAACTAAATATTAAGGTGATATATATAAATAAATATATATAAATAGTTAGGACCATATGGTTTGTTTATGTGTTTTGTTTTACCTTGGTTGTTTTGGGAGTATGTGTGCATGTGTGTGTGTGTGTGTGTGTGTGCGTGCAGGAATGCCCTCTGATTGGTTCCTGCAGGCTGATTGATGCTATGTCCTGATTGGTGCACAGTACTTTAAAAGACATGTCATCACAACATCTTTGTGTCCTGGGCAGAAAGAGTTGGATTGTTTAGTGCAGAGTTTTAAGAGAGTTTGTATTAGTGTATTCATATATATGTTTGTAGTGTTTAATAAGAGAGTTTGTATGTGTGAAAAGTGTATTAGACACTGTGAGTACTGACTGTTTGAGTTGGAAATGTTTTGTGTTTGTGTTCGTCTGTGTTTGTTGTATTTTACCTTTTGCCTGTTTTCTGACACTGATTTTGGCCCTCTCAATGTTCACTTGGCTTTGTAAATATATTGCATATATTGCTTTTTGGTTAGGCAGTCAGCTTAGTGTATTTTCTTTTTGATTAGTTTAAGGAAATACGGTTAAAACTAAGAACGTTTTGTTATACAGTATACACAATAATCTCATTATTGATGTGCTATTTCGCTGTCTACGAAAGTCATGTTGTAACCTTTTTTTAACACACACACACGCATATATCCGACAATATATCCCATGTAATTTCAACAACTTCCCAGCCCACTAAAATGAATAAAAGATTCTTTATGGAATATACATTAGTTGTAATTTACAGTCATGGTAGTGTATCACTGTTTTAATCAGAGTAACAGTGCTCATCGCGGCATACACTATACTCGAGCAGAACTATTCAAGACGTCCCAAAGGTTTCACCCATACACACAGAGCAGGGCCTTTCTCTGCTCACGGGTAAAAGACGGAGAGGAAATCAGATGCCTTTTGGGGGAAATAGCTTTAGCAGATGGGGAAAAGAGTGTGGAGTCAAGGCCTTATTTAGAGAGAGCGGAGAAGACGAGAGACGGTCATTCTCATCTCTCAAAGCACCATGTCACACAGTCTCGGGTGAGTACTGCAAATTCTCTGTTTATCCCGCTTATTAGTCAAATTATCAGGAGAGTTTTTGAGACGTGCGGATGCTGTTTACACAAGGTTTGTTTTCATATGTGGTTTCTCTCTTTCGATATCTGGCATGATTTACTGAGGCCTGATCAGATCCCACATGAAGCATCTAGAAAAGCAGTGATATGTGAGGGTTTCACTTATCAGGTGACTATAAGAAAAGAGGGAGCACGATACGTTACCAACAGTGCAACATGTTAAATCTAGAGACATGCTGCTCAAACGTTGAGGGAAAATAGTTCTTCAGCAGGATCTAGAGGAGAGATTTTGCTTTGTTAAACCTTTAAAACAGAAATTACAAGTATTAGAGCTGACAATAGGTTAAAATAAATAATTATTATTGAAAAATGTTCATTAAAAACAGTTGAAAGACTTTTTAAATTCTTGGTTTGTAAAATTCAACTTCAATTCAACTGACCTGAATTATAATTTCAATAAATAAATTGTGTATTATATTATATTGTATAACTACAAATGCAATGCTCAATAGTTTTCAAATCCCAGAAGCCAATGTCAAGTTTAACGCAGATTCAATATTTCTGCATCAGAATGCATGGGAAATACCTAAACTTTAACTAAATTTGCAATAAATAAATAATTAAATTGACCCGCATAATTTTAATATCTTCAAAAGGTTTCAATTTAAATGAATGAATGAAATTGTATCTTCTTCACCTATTTAATCAACTTTTTGCCTTCACTAGTTTATGTGACACTAAATGGCCTTATATATATATATATATATATATATTAGATGAAAAATAGTCATTCAGTTTGTAAGCGTGAATGATATGAAATAGATTTCAGCCCTGAAATACACAAGTTTGCCCTTTCAACGAAAAGATCCACTGCGACAATACCAGAAATTACGGAGCATATCTATCTGAATACATTTTTTGTAGTATGTTTCATGCAGATATTTTTCAGTATTTTCATCTTTTACCCTGCACTGGAGAATCCGTATATATTTTTGTTAGGTTTTAAACTCCATGGCTTTTCATAAGGATTATTATTTATTAAGTTATTTCTGTTGTAAAATGTATTAACCTTAAATATGGGATATATTAGGTGTGACTGTACTATGCTATGCACTACATTTCTGATCTGTCAAAGTCCGGGTCTGCTGGAACTATGGACTTTACAGACTACAGAAATTCCTCACGTAAACAAATATCTCCTTTTGCACCCATGACTTCTGTACATAAATTGTCATACTTTGAAATAAATCTCGAATACAATTCACAATTAACATTCAAACATACTCTGTTTCTGGTTTTATGTGCAATCTGAAAATGATGGTTTAAAAACAGCTAACTCCTGTCAGAGTGTTACTTTTGCTGTTGATATAACATGTTAAACTACTGATTCGTGTCAAGTGTAGCCTATCTTAAGCTGTAGTGCAAACAACAGCATAATAACATTTATATTTAACAAACATTTGTCAATTGTAAATTCCGCTAAATAAGCTCAACAACAGTACAAAGCAAATACCGGTAGCTTAGATTGTCCCAGCGGGATTGATGATGTGGATACACAGTGCTATCGAGCTCTGAAATATTTGATTTGACAGACTGATCTCATGAAATGGCGTAGCCTATGTATGACACGCCAATTAGTATTTCCATTTTTGGCGTGCTATCAATAATCGCTTTTCAGCGTGTTTATCAACGCCTTGACTTAACGTTACATTACTGTAAATATAGCCTATGACCTACCCCAACCCCGTCCCTAAACCTACCCGTCACTGGGGTTAATACCATTATGAGTCTTCCCCTACCATCCTAGGAAAAAAATATTGCTCCACAGATGTAAATATACATTTTGCTTCGTTTCGCTCGTGCATTTAACGGCGTACACATACACATATACACGCGGAATCACTCGGACATTTAACGGCGTAGACATACACGCAAAAGATGACGGTTCGTTTCGGCGTGGACACACACGCGGATAGCTCAAAATGCGTATAGATAACACGCCACTTAACTTGAAAGTGGCGTGTATGTTTACGCAAAGTCATGATGTCATGTTGCAACAGATGTAAAAAAATATCAACAACAAAAAAACATATGTTGGACAGTTTTGCCAAACTGCAGGTCTGTGAACTGACATGATTTTCATATAATATATTAAGAATTATTCCGTCTGAAAGGATCACAAAGTGATTTGTGAAGTGTAGGTTGCTGTCCAGTTTAAATCAATTTTTCTATCTTGGTCTATACAATTCGACTTAAAACTTATTTAAATTAAATAATTATAAATGTAATGCTCAATTATTTTCTGGGCCTCTTCAAAAAGTCCTCGAGTTCAACAAAAGCTCAGAAGGGAAAATAATATGGTACACTTGTACCTCTAGCTTTTTTGAAAATGGCACAAATATTTTTGAATGCGGCATGAAACCTAAGTTGCGATACTCTTTTCTTCCCATATTGTGATGTATATCCGAGTGAAATGGCTTCTCGAACAAGAAAAAATGTAGGGCGGGAGTTGATTTTGTCCATCGGGAACTGATTGGATGGTTGTGGTTTGCTATTGGTCGATCTCATGTGAGTGACAGGTTGTCCCGAAACGCATCATCAGAGAAGAGATGTCGTTGCAGGAGAAGTAATTTTAATTAAAGATTATCAGGGCACATGAATAAATACTGTAAAATATATTTTTTTTAAAAGAAGAATTGTCCATTTTACTTATTTATAAATTAAAAATGAATTCATATGAGCTTAATAAATAGCAGCAGAAGTGTGTCTAATAGATCCATTGATGCATTATTCAGATGTACAAAAGCCAGCACAGATTCTGCAGCGTTATGAATGTGTCCTCGGAGACGATCTGGGACGTGTGCTTTACACACCTCTGTCCTGATTCACTCCGCCGACTGCAGTAAAAACACTCTTTGTGTTGGTGGTACAATTGGTGTCTAATAAATCATAAAAGTATTTGACTGTAAAGACCCGACTCTTTCTGCTGTTTGTCACATGGTCCAATTAGTTTAGTCTCGCCCACCGGCTTCTCCAGCCACAAACGCTTTCAAATACTGTAAAAGCCAAATGCATCACTAAAAGCCTTTTGTACCCCCCAGTCCAGCATACTGTTTTAATAAATCCTTTCATTTCAAAAAGTGAAGTCAACATTTTATGATTTAATGGCTTCCTTCTCGCTGTCGGTGCCTGTGACGAAGGCCAAATCCCAGAGTGCTGGAGACTCCCTGTCCTTAATAGTGGGCTTGGGAGATTTCTTCCTATAGCAGACTAATGGATTCTCAATGTGAGGGTAGAGCTTCATCAGGAAAAACCCACGTGTTGCTGGGCTCTCTCTTTATGTGCTGTTCCAAGGTTTAAGGATGATGGCATTAATCAGTAGCTTTTGTCCTTAGTTCCTCATCAACCAGTGTTAATTAGTCAGGAGTGATGGAGACTGTGTTTAATGTGTAAATGGACTTGCTGACCTCTACTGGTGTGTGTGTTACCTGAACTACCAGGTTACACTGAATACAGAAGGGTCCAAAAATGAGTTTATTTTAACCTGGAAACAACAACGTTTTGAGATTCTGACACGGAACAAGGAACAACATGAAATGAAATGTTTAAAATTCGACACTATTTCTGGGTCGCAAAGCAAATATGCTGCTGTCGATAAAGTGACAAACTAAATAATTAGTTCATTTTATGTAATTCTTTATTCAAACTGTTATGTGGATTTGTGTGAAAAAGTACATTTTTAAAATGATGCAAAATTAGACCCCAGTGTAGATGCAAAATATTAAGAAATAACTCGACATAAAGACACACTTTTTTTTTTACTTTTTTTTTTAAATTATAATTAAGGCATGACAATCATAAACCCACATTTCAATTATTTTATAAAGTATCATTTAATTTAATATAATATATTGAATTAATATAACATTTTGAATAATATTTAATTTAATTATATTTTATTATGATTAAATTAATAAAAAACAGTGTTTCACACCCAAATTATTTGCAGGTGCATATAGGATAAAAGTACAATTTAAACGTATATATATTTACTTATATAAATATATATATATTGGCCCCCAATCCAGTTTGAGTAGTGTGCAAGATTTATATATTTTCTTGTTTATAGTTAAATTATATATATACGTATAAAATAAATTTGGGTATATTAAGTGTAATAAATATTACATTTAAATATTTATACAAATAAATTGTCAGTAGACCAAATAATCTCATCTCTGTCGAATAATTTGATGCCTCTTTTATGATTTATTAACACAATAAATTATAAACGTTTGTGTACTAGAACTGTTTTGTAAATTTCTTCTGTTGCTAGCAACTGTTTTATTTTTAAGCACCATAAAATAAGAAAAATATCAAAAAAATAAAATACTATGATATATATTGACAACATAATTATGTTTGTCCACAGAGGCGGTTACGGTACCACTAAACGCCTCTTTGGTATGGCAAACATCATTTCCATTAAACAGACGTGCATCACCCGTCAGGAGAGAGCCAAGCTAAAATAGCAAGTTTACCGCTCTACGCTGTCAGTCAGATTGTGATCCAGCCCAGCAGAACTCTCTGACCCCTGAATATTTTGTCCTCACTGGGGTCACACACACACACACACACACACACACACACGAGATCTTAAGGGAGGCATTACTCTGTTACTTTGGCTGTTCTTGCCTAAGAGTGGGAAGTGCATGAGCTCTTGAGCATTTCCCCATTTTGCTGTAGGACAATCCCATCATCCTCTAATCAAGCCTGTGGTTTAACAGCCAGCTCTATCTCCATCTCCATCCTTGCGCAAGGGTCGTGACGCAGGCTAGGGACAATAGAAGGATATTAAAACACTTCTGCATCCACTTGAAAGTCCCGATCGCTCCTGCCAGATCACTCAGTGCTGGGCTTGTGTCGCCTCTGACCGCGCTCTGCAAAGAAATGTCAAAGTGTGTCGGCATATGTGTGCTTGCTTAACATTAAAGGAAAAAGGAAAATACTGTCATGCTGTTATTTTTTTCTGGAACACACACACACATTTTTATTTTATTTTTTAAATGCTACAAAAAGAAAAACTAAAATGTAACTATAAAATTTAAAATGACCATAAATATTAATTCACTTGACAGATATTGTATGGAACCTTCTTATACAGGGGTTTTCAAACCTTTCGATGTCAAAGATCCTTAATATGAATATATTATTCCCCATAAAGGCTTCTTCATATTTTTATATACAGAATAAAGGCCCATGTGAGAAATATTAATAAATAATGTTAGATGTTTTAACATGGAAAGACACATTTTCAACTGAATTGGAATAATACTGTAGCATTTCTCACA